GAGGGTTTCCCTCGAGTGGGCGTCTGTTACTGTGCCGGGCTCAGCAACCACCTCCCTTCCTCAGGGATGACACCTGGATTTCCCTTTGGGAAACTAGCCTCTACCCCCTCCCTGCATGCAGGCCAGGTGGGGCGCCCTGCCCACCCCGGCCACAGCTGAGCACAGGAGCCCAGCAACGCCAGGGCTGAGTGGCTGCGGCCCCTTATTCTACTGCTGGTCCCTGCCAAGGGTCGCTGGGGCTGCTGCCCAGAGCCCAGAGTGGCCAGCGTGCCATGCGGGAAGGCTCTGCAAGCCATCCCGTGGCCTCCCAACAAATCCATCCCCCACAAATGTCCTGAAGTTAACTGAAATTGCTAGGGTTAAAGACACCAAGACAATCCCAAGCGTTCAGAGCAGTCCCCAGCAGCCCTGCCCCTGGCTGCGCTGGAGACGATAACTCGAGACCTTGAAGACAGCAACAGAAGTAGTGGTGGCGGCAAAACAGACACACGGTGGCCCTGGCCCGGAGAACCCCGAGACCGCCAGGCAGGGTGACTGCCACAGAACACGATTCATTCTTCAACGGCCCCTGAAGTGTGTGATTTTCACACAGCAAAGTTAGTTCATGGAAAAGTGGAGTTTAAGGCGGGGACTCCGATAATCAAGGGAAGCTGGGGGTCTGGCTGCCTGTGTGCCCGACTCACTCCCCTCTGCCAGTCTGGGAGCCACTCTCTCCCGGGTGTGCCCCCCGCCCTCCCCCATTCCTTCTCAGTTTCTTCCCAGGACCCTTGGGCATCCGCCCCAACTGGCTCGCTCCCCCGTGTGGCAATGCCAGACCTCTCTGCTCGTCCCAGACCTGGCACTGGCTGCACAGAGTCCCGTGAGTGATGCCTGCCACCCAGACTGTCCACCGCGTGGTCCGGCACCGCCAACTGCACAGACTGCAGCTCAGGGTCTCCCTCCTGCTCCACACCCCAGCTCAAGAGACACAGAGTGAAAAGTACACCAGCAGAAATTGTCATTTGTTGCATCAGGGTCTCAGACATTTAGAGTTCAAACTGTTTCTCTAACCATTCATTCGACAAACACATATTCAGTATCTGCTATGGAATGAATATCTGCATCTCCCCAAAGTTCGTGGCCTTAAGAGGTGGGGCTTTGGGTGATTACGCCATGAGGGTGGAGCCCCACGGAACAGGGTTAGTGCCCTTATGAAAGAAGGCCTGGGGAGCTTCCTCCCCTCTCCCCCGCTGCCACCACACAAGGACACCAGAAGGGAGCAGCCTGCAGCCGGGAGAGTCCTCGCCAGAACCCAGCTGAACGCTAGCTCCCTGGTCTTGGGCTCGCCAGCCTCCAGAGCTGTGACGGATAGACAGATTTTTGCTGTTTAAGCCACCCAGGCTGTGATATTCCGTTACAGCAGCCCGAACAGATGGAGGCAGTATCTAAGTAAAGAAGGATCTCTTCAGAGGGCGACAACGCTTGTGCTCCAGGGTGTTTAATGGTGAATCCTGCCCTCTTGTGTTCCGTGACTATTTCGACTGGCTATAAAGGCAAGTCCTCTATAACTGCGGTCCCCAAGCCCCTGGCCACAGACCAGTCCGCAGCATGCAGGGCCCAGGCTGCAGAGCTCTGCCACGCCGCCCGACCCGGTCTTCGGAAAAACTATCTTCCCCGAAACTTAGGAACCGGGGTGCAGGGGGGTTGGGGGGACAGGAAGTGAGCAGAGGGCGAGCCGGCGAAGGTGGCTCCCCATCAATGGCATCACCACCTGAGCTCCACACCACCCCATCCATGGAAGGAGTGTCTTCCATGCAACCAATCCCTGGTGCCGAAAAGGTTGGGGACCGCTGCTCTATACACACATACCTATAGCACACATGCTGGTACACACTTCTATACATTTTCTGTAAACTTACACATAACCCCTAAAGGGTGATGAACACTCATCTGTCTTTTTGGTCTTGATTTTCCCACGTAAAACCAACATGGATCCTTTACCGCTTCTGAGTTACCTGGCCCTGGGCACCTGGCGGCTCTCAGCTCCCAGGCTGTGACGTGGAAGGGTGAAGCCTGCCCCGCAGGCAGGTCACAGGCTCAGCCCAGAGCCGGCTGGGGACAGGAGAGGTGTCCTCAGGGAGCTGAGTGCAGAACTGCCCTCAGCACAGTCTCTCCTGCTGGTACCTGGGGTCCTCCATGCCACCCCCACACTTTCCACCGCTCCCCTCCACGGTGTCAGCACACTGGCCACCTGCCCTGTGCCCCACGGTTTTAGAAACCTGCCTTCCCACGCCAACAACCTCCGGGATGGGCCTGCCCCTCCCTCAGCAAGCAGGGAGCCTCCACCACCACAGGAGCGTCCTCCACCGCTGCCGCCGCCCGGCCACGTCCCTGGGTCCGCGGCAGATCTGCGAACAGCTGCCATCGTCATCTCATCACACCATTGCGTGCCAGTTCCCACAGGCGCATGACTTCTTTAATCAAATCCACCTTCCTGGGCCTGGCAGCCAGGATTCGAGGTCAGCTGCCCAGCTCCCCAGATCAGCTCCGCTAATCGTCCCGCCCTGGGTTCTTATTCACCACTCCGCCATGAGCCGTCCCTCACCCTTCTCCCCTCCGGCAGCAAACAGCTCGCTGAGAGCAACAGAAAACTCTGCACAGTGTGTTCATGGATATCACTGGGGAAAGGGCTCTGTGATCAAAAGTTGATAGCCCTTGTTTGAATAAAGTTAAAATGAGTCACTCTCTCAGCCTTGAGATTTCTACATGCACCATGGACCTTTTAAGACATACCATGCAGTTTTTCCAAAAGTTTTCCCTGCACAGCCCAGAGAAAGGCTCTCCCCTTCCACAACACCTCCCCTGACCCCAGCCTTCACCTGAGTTTTAACGCCCTCTGCATTAACTTTCCACCTGGGGGTCTCCACCTCTGGTCCGGGCGTGTCTGGGCTCCCAGCAAGTCCTTGAGTTGAAATTTCATCCCACACGGCCCCCTAGGAGCATGCTTTTCCCCGGCACAAGCAGAGGGGAGCCC